AAAACCTGGAAGCACTGAACGGCCGTTTCGTCCTATTGTGGGACTCCTCCTTGGCAGTGCGCATCCACGATCAGGCCTCGCGAGATTCGATTAATCAGTTGTCTCGAACTTGATTATTCTTATGTTTCCACATCAATCATTATTTGTTCTCGTTCTCTTTTCTTTGATCTTCCTAACCTTCTGCTTCCAGACATTTCCTTCACTTTCGATTGATGATACATACCACTTATATCTGTCGACATCAGTGGTATACACCACAATACCTCCTGATTAGTAATCATTCTTTTTATACACTTGATTCCCTTTCATAAATCATACCTAGAGTAGGGAAATTAGTAAAATACGGTGAATTTATTGTACTTTATTACTTTCCCTCCAATTACGTACATACAAGTTAATATGTTTAATTACTTCCAATTACTAAGATAATGTTATGAAGTTAATTGTTAATTAATGTACGAATAAATTGTGTATAATATGAATATTTAGATAGTTTTATTACGTAATAGATTAAAAGATGTACTGAATTCCAGAAAGAAAAAGAATGATGATTATGGTTAATTGAGGAAAGGCGAAATGAGGTCAGAATGTTACCAATACAACTAAAAAATGTAATACTGATTATTTCGAAATACAAGGTTTAGGTTTGAGCTTTCTAATTAGTATGGCTTCTGTAAATTTCTATACATTATATCTATTCAGTATTATTTGTTTGAATCTTCCCATCGATTTGTTAAGACTGCATTTATGTTGTGTGTGCTATTCAAATTCGTTAAAAGTCGTCTTTTTGATTGTATATTTTTGAAATGAACTACTTAAAGAGATCAGACATCCACTATCCTACCCTCCCAGTCTACGTGCTTTAGTATGTACAGATAAACGGATATATAAATGCAAGTTTAGGACATCTTTTTGTAATTAGAAAGGGGTTTTGTGGAGATTCAGTATTTTCATAGTTGAAAGCGTGAGTCAATTGAAGCCAGACCACCATGGAAAACCTGGAAGCACTGGACGGCCGTTTCGTTCTATTGTGGGACTCCTCCTGGGCAGTGCGCATCCACGACCTCGCCTCGCGAGATTCGAACGCAGAACCTACCAGTCTCTCTCTAGAGCACTTAACATCTAGACCACTGAGCCGTAATCCGATGGTGTTAATGTCTAACTCCAACCCATCCACGAAATTGGGCAACCGTTCACCATTTGTCTTCACTGAGCTCCTATCTCACAATAGATGTGGTTTGAACTCCATTGGTCACTGCTTCTCACTAGAACTCCAGGAAATACTTCTTCAAGTCAGACACTAGTGAGCATATGATTATAATCAGAAGGGATTTTGTGGAGATTTCAGTATTTTCATAGTTGAAAGCGTGAGTCCAGTGCTTCCAGGTTTTCCTTGGTGGTCTAGTTTCAATTGACTCACGTTTTCAACTACGAAAACATCTGTTCTATCTAAACTTAACAATATTTGTCATGTTAGATGATAGAACTATACAGTCGTTCTAGAATTATCAGCGCAAAAGATTTAAAAAGAATCCCCTTGCAAAACATTAATTATTGACTTCATTTTTAATACACATAATTTATTCATATATTGACTGATAATTCACTTTTCAACATCTTAATAATTGGAAATAATTAAATATAACTTAGATGTATGTAGTTGATGTGAGATCAACGTGATCCAAGTGTGAAGAATATTTGAAGGGTCAATTGTTTTCAATAACTTCATCATCAACAGGCTGTACAGTTGTAAGCCCATAATTACGGTATTTTACAAAGGTCAAAATAAAGCCTTGAGTGTTCGTAAACTTTTACATCCCGGCGAGAAGTATGAATGGTAACTTTTGAAAACTATCTATGGAACACTACGATACATCTATTTTTATTGTGTAACTAAACTATCCATATTCATGTTCCTCTTATTATAATATTCATTTTGACCTATAGACTATTGTTATGCGATTTACTGTTCCTGAGTTATGCCCATTTTATTGGTTACAGTTTCTCACAATCACAGTCACTTTCAGTTAGGTCTTGTATAAATGTTATTTTATATTTTATGGTAGGATTAAGTCCGTTTGATTGTTAGATAGTAAACATCATGTTAAAAAAGAGGAAGCTTTCTCTGTTTTATATCAAATTTCAAAGAATCTACCTCAAGGAGTTAGATTACGACTACCTCAGAATAACCGAAGCTATCTGGATTAACTCCAGCAAATGGAATCTATGTATCTAGAAAAAGTATATCAGGCCTCTATGTTTATCCTGGTTCACGACTAGAACACTGGATACCTAAATTGAATGTTGTATACCTCTAATCTCACCGTCTTATTATTTTTATTACATTTTTCTTAATCTTCACATTCATCTTTCCCAATTCGCATGAATTTGTGTGATCGTAATTACCCTGATAACACTCATCTTATTACATATTATATTCACACAACGATATCATTATTAACCCCATTTACAAGATGAAATTCTCCTGCTATGCACTTTATTCACATGACTTTTTTTCATTTTGCTATATACTATTTAGTTTGAAAGGAGCACAAAATAAAAACTTGTGCACTGTAGAGGTATAAACAATGGAGTTTTACAAACCTGAGCTCAGTGTACTAAAACGACACATGCAAGTCATCATTCTTCCATGAACCCAACAACTAGTTTTCATGTTTGGTAATTTGGTTGATAATAAATTCTTCTGATGTTTTTAAATCTTTTTCTTTTCAATTATTCCTTATGATCACTTCTATGTTTTCAATGCAATCTCCACCTTTCTCATACTTGTAAAGTGGAAAGTGATCTTTCGCACAGTCAGCGTCATCTTATTAATGTTTTTAAAAGTTCGGTTCGTTTCACATTCTCCTATTGACACCTAAAATGAACATAGACCTCCTAGTTTTTAAATGGAGTACTTTTGTGTTAATTATCTATGATACCATCAAGAAGAAAATTTCCTTCACTGTATCGTCTTCATTCTTGATGTCTAACTTTAGAATTTTACAAACTGATATCGATCAGAAGAAAGTTATACTTTAACAGATCCTCTATTCACTATTGATGTAACATAAAATAATTATTACACTATGGACATACTATTGAAATCGAATTAGGTTTTCTTCAGAATAACAGCAATGTCTTCGTTAATTTTAATATTTCGTACGCTTTGTATAAATTAACGTCAATTAGATAAGTTCTTTATACTGGTTGAAATTATTCGACATTGGTGGAAAAGATTTGTAGCTTAGGTGGGTGATTTTGATGGAGTTTTGTTCACTGGGCTGGGTGGTTTGGTCATGAAGCTTTCATCGTCTTTCTGAACGACATTATCAGCACAAAGGACAATGAAAGCTCAACGACCAAACCATCCAACTCAAGGAACAGAACTCCATCAAAATTACTCGACATTGTTATCCAAAACGAATTAGAATTGAATAAGAAAAAAGACGAGTACAAACAAACGGTTTATATTTTGATTATCAGAACTGAATAATATCAGTCTAGGCATTTTTGTATCAACCAATAGATTTCTCGAGTTTTATTTAACGTCAACCAATCTAACAGCGTACAGATTCTGATGGCATAAAACAAGTCAACTGATATATCTTATTAAACTGACTTTCACTTCTCACATCATGACATCATTCCTAATAATTGTTATAACAAAAATGGCTTTCAATAATAGGTATATATATTGTTACATCGATTGATGTGAGTACGTGCGTGCCCTGTTTAATATATCACGTGATGATACCCGTCAATCAAAGAGAAGTCAGTTATCGGTCGGACTAGTGATACACAAAAGCCTTATGAGCAGTCTTGAGTAATTATCAGTCCTGATATCTACCCAACTCAGCCAGTTAACTCCAGAACACTAATAACAGCCTCTGCAATGTAAACCATTATTCTCAAACATACTGAGTTTATATACCAAACAAATTGACCATATCGTACCAATAAAATAGAAAATAACATTCGTACAAGATTAGGCTAAATGTGGCTGTGAATAGGGGGAGCAGTAATTAATAGACTACGGACAACTCAAGAATGGTAAATCGTATAATAATAGTCTATAGATCAAAATAAAGATTATAATAAGAAGGACACAAATATGGATAGTTTAGTTACTTCATATTTATGCAATAGGAAATATACATATCGCATTGGTCCATAAATAGTTCTCAAAGTTACCATACATAAATCTCCACGGGATATTATATATATATATATATATCCGCTATAAAAAATTTTCTGATTTAATTATTATTAGTGGCTTTATTTAATATTATATTTTCGGTACAATGTAGAATTCTCAACAAAGTATTTCGACAAGTTTCCCTTTCTTATTTCTTGATCTATCCTGAAAACAAATAATGAGCGGTGATCAGTTAGGTGTTACCAGTTCAGTAATCGACATCTGAATAATGTCTCTGATTGATCTATTTTGTAATTTGTGCAGCGAAATGTCGCGAACTTTTGACAAATGCACCTAAATATGTTATGATACTAATAGGCATATAACTTATTGAAATATCTAAATGGCAGGAACAGGAAGTCCAGATATTCAAGCAGGCCGCCTATTCCAAAACAATTAAATTTGAGTTTCTAATCAATAGAATAAGAAAAAATAAATGAAGACAAATTTTTGATGGAGAACACTACAAGTAAATTATTTATCAATAAACATCAATCTGATCTCTCAATCATTTTGACTACTAGAATTATCACATTATGCAATACTACATTCTTCACATTCATGTTGATCTATTTGTATGTTCAATTACACAAATTCTAATTCTTAATTTAATTTACATTATTCCATGTTAAACAACAATCTAAACGTAAAAATCCTACTGGATATTCAATCATGATAGGATAATGCGTACAAAAATATATATCTAAATAATTCAATATTTCTATTGGATAATACGATTAGCCAATCAAAATTCAGAAAAAAAATTATCAAATATATATTATTTCATAGTGAAAAACTTTTTGTTCTAAGCTAACTGTTTTATAATTAAATAGAATTTTTAAAATACATCAGACAATCAAATGAGGAATATGATCAATATTATTAATCATAATAATAGTAGTAGTAATAGGATCATTCATATTCATCAATTAGAATTATATTTGTGATATTCATGGATACTTTATTCATTATTCAAATAGTTGTATTCACATTATTAAATAATCTATGCACAAACTATGAATTAAACATTGAACCAGTTAAAAGTAAGCAAACGATTTAAATTATTTTGTTTTAATTCTTGTTTGTAGTTTATGTAATCACTAGACATAAAAAATGCAATATAGAAGTTAAACATTAACATCATTAGATGCCGGCTCAGTGTTTTAAAGGTTAAGCGCTCGCGCGCCAGACTGAAATGTCTTGGGTTCGAATCTTGCGAGGCGGGATCGTGGATGCATACTGCTGAGAAGTCCAACGGTAGGACGAAACAGCCGTCCAGTTCTTCCAAGTTTTCCATGGTGGTCTAGCTTCGATTGACTCATGATTTCAACTATATAGAATATTGGTTAAATGTTTATTGTTTGACATTAATTTCACTGCCCGTATTATCCCCTACCATGTACCAAAATGGTTGCAGACACAAATAAAATCAAATGACCGGATAAGAGTAGAGTATAAACATCCATCATCATCTATTGCCAGACAATAATCGAAACAGGCCATAAGATTGGTCTTAACTGGGCTTTTGTGGTGTTGTATAAAAGTGTAAAAGGGTGTATACTAAGGTTTGTTGAATCCTTAGCCATATGAAAATTCAAACCCCCTTTTGTGTTCATCAAAAAGTACATGTATGATACAAGGAAGAAATCGGAGATTTTAACAGTTCGTAAGAAGCCTCTATACATGAAATTACCATTCAACGGGGATGTAGCTAGTGAAACTCTGAAAGATAGGTTAACAAAAGTAATTAATAAAGCTTTCTACGCAGCCTATCTTGCATTGACTTTCTCGAGTCGACCAGTGATGTCTACTCAAACGAAGGATAAGTTACCTGAGTTGGCCTCCTCCATGTGCATTTATAAGTTCAGCTGCTCCGGTGGAGATAGCTATATCGGGCGTACTACTAGGCAACTTAACCAACGAATGAGTGAACATCTACCAGCATGGTTTGGAAAGGGCCAAATAAAAACAATACGCAGTTCTATCTTGGCACATCTAATTGATAGTGGTCATATTGTCGATAAATTGAAATCATTTCAAGTGATCTATCGTATACCTCCATCGTTTCCCAACGGAGTTCGCTCCCGTCTACTTCATATAGGAGAAGCCATAGGAATTCGTACATTCCATCCCAATTTATGTGTACAAAAGATATTCGTAACCCCCCCTATCCCTTCCATGGCCGGACATAACTTAATAAATGACATTATTATTATTTGTAAAAAATTTTTATTTTGGTTATCATTTTTTGTTTGTTTGTAATTTTCTACCTCTTTCCGTTTGTATTCTTCACTATCTATTTACTTACATACTTCTTATTACGTAATGATTTTAATGTTTTGTGATTACTATTCCAGTCTATTTACCCACGTTTGACCTCTTAATTCTTATGTTTAATTATTGATAAGACTTTTGTTATCATAACTTACTATTCTTACTACTATCAGTACACCTGTCTTCCCACTATCAACTATTATTATGCTTGGTAACGTATTCTATTTCATTGTGATTATTATTGACTCAAATAGCCTTGATTGGTTTAACATTTTCATATAAATATTCATGTATATTAGAGTAAAGCTTGATGACGATCTAATTGAAAACAATTGTTCGCTTACATATGTTGTTTTAATTTTCACAATGGGAATCTTTAATATTCAAAAACAGTTTATTCTCTCCTTAAACCTACCCTGGTAATATTAGCGCTTCGTGAATGCGCACTGCTGAGGAGTCCCATAATAGGACGAAATGGCCGTCCAGTGCTTCCAGGTTTTCGATGGTGGTCTAGCTTCAATTGACTGATGATTTCAACTTTGAAATATACTGAAATCTCCACAAATCCCCTTCTGATTAGATTATTATTTAGAGTGATTAGGCTTCAAATTGTTTTCATATTATTTTTATTATTATTATGTTTGTCTCTTCTTAACCCCCATTTCCAGTCTAGTTGACCTTTTATTTTTATATCTATAAATGTTCTTAACAAGTACACTATGTGTGATCAGATTGTTCGAAATGTATTGCGATAATATATCAATCACATAGTTCTGATAATCTTCGTCTTCTCATTACATTATCGAAATTTACCAAAGGGACTAATTGTTTTAAATATAAAATTAAATCAAATCAAATATTTCATTGACTACAACATGGAGTAGAATGATAATTTTCCCAGATCATTCCAGACAATAAGATGTTCACTGCCATTGATTAACTGTTCTCTTCTAATTTAACTTTTGTTCGAGATATTTGGCATTTTAATAGCTACTTCAAGTAAACTCTTTTTGATAAAATTATCATAACTGTAAATCTAATATATAGGACGAAACGGACATCCAGTGCTTCCAGGTTTTCCATGGTGGTCAATTGACTCACGATCTCAACTATATAAAATTACTAAAATCTCCACAAAACCTCACTAGTGACTGACTCCATGAGGTATTTCCTGGAGTTCTAGAGAGAAACAGTAATCAATGGAGTTCAACCAGATCTAATATATGTTTATCTATTTTGTTCATCTATAGTAAGCTAGTTTTAAACATCTCACAAATCATTTCAGTATATTTATTTTATTGTAATTCTAACGTATAACTGGTTATTTTTAAAAGTTTTCATGAAAAATGTATTACACTAAATAACAAATGCAAACGTTAAATACGTATGTAATGTTTGTTTGAATATTGTGTTGTCGATTTTTTAGGACCACAACTGATCAGTCTCATTTAGTACATGTGAATTCTGCATAGATTGCCTTGATATTACCATTTAATGAAAAACGTATTAAGCAGAGTTTCTTAGTGAATATCAGTAAACTTCAGGAAATGCATTTCGCTTTATTTGGCTTTTTTCAACCATATTTACCTGCCTCCTTGTTTATATTCTCACTGGAACTCGAAATGAGTTATTCACTCAGCTACTATGTTCAAATAGTCATTGGCTTGTTCAACAGAAAAAACTTTCAGTTAGTTAGAAACATAATAAAAAATTTAATTTCACTAAAACTTATTTATTTCATAAAGATCTATTAATTTGAATTCCTAGTTTCTATATCATTTCATTTCATGCATTGAACAATGATTTATCAACACATCTAGTTGAGATTTTCTATCTCTAGTTTGCTGAGCAACTGTATCTTAACTTTCAATTACCTGAAACCGTGAATCTTTTATATGAAAAGGTATCTATAACTATACTTCTACTTTTCTTATGTTTCAGAGGGTAAATGAGTAGGACAACAAACTTACTGATTGTGACCTAATAAGATTGTAGCCATATCTTTATTCTGCTCTGTCTATAAATAATAATTTTTCGTGCAAGGACTGGTACTATGTCAAGCTAACATAGGTTGTTTTAGCTTCTGGACAAACCAATTTATCCATTCATCTCAAGCTACATTTTAATCTTGTCATTAAGTCCCTTATCAACGTTGACTGATTTAACGTAAACGTATGTGTGTATATTTCTTATCTTACTCATCACATATCTGTAACTTATTTTTGTCTGACTATAAATATCGATTAATGCTTGGTTAAATCAAGTTACCTCATTCGCCTTCTCCATTATGCGTCATTTCATTTTGCTTCACTTTCCGATCAACAGTTGTACAAAATATTCCTTCCTTACGCCTGTTACCTCCAATCTAGCATTGGCCGCCGATCAGCATTCATCAACCCAATCTGTCCTAGGCCTTCCTTTTTAGTTCTGCCCCAACTTTGTTCAGTCTTCTCATGTCTATCTCCATTTCTCAGCATAATGTGTTCTATGGTCTTCCTATTCTCCTTTAGTCTTCAGGATTCCATGTGAGGGCTTGCCTTGTGACGCAGTTGGCTATTTTCCTCAATGTGTGTCCTATCCACTTCCGGCACTACTGAAATCTGGTTTGTTCTCTCCCACAGCGGCTTGTTGCTGATAGTGTCCTGCCAAAAAGTCCGTAATATTTTGTGTATAAAACTGGTAATAAACACTTATATCTTCTGGATGATGGCTTTCGCAGTTCTCCAAGTTTCCGCCCCATACAGTAGAACTGTCTTGACATTTGTATTGAAAACTCTGACTTTGGTGTTGTTTGACAATTGTTTTGAGTTCTAGATGTTCTTCAATGTACGAAATATACCTATTCTAAATTCCATTCTCGTAATAGACTTGTTTAGTTCCATTATTCACTAACATGATCTAAGTCGACAACTGTACATTAGGATTGGTGACAATGTATATATCAAAGACATGAAGAAAACGATCTAATTAGAGTCAGAATCTTGAGTCACTAAATATGATTGTTGCTTTTATAATGAAATATAAAATTTTATTGGGAAAACGACAGAACATTCTTTATCTGTTGAACACAACTGTTTTGCTATGATTGCAAATTGTATTTAACCCTTAAATGATTTTTCCTCATAATCCATTTATACTTTAAATCAGTTCAAAACCTCTAGTTCCCTTTATTCATTTTTTTAATAACCAAACTAAAATGCATATGAATAAATACTTTGCAATGTTCGTATATTATCCTAATGTATTTCTGTTATATCGATTGATTGCGTACGTGCCCTGTTTGATACATACGACGTGATAAGACCGACAATTGAAGAGCACTGTTTTTATCGATCCAATGATACACAAAAGCCATATGAGTAGTCTTGAGTACTTATTAGTCCTGCTATCTGCCTAATAACAGCCTCTGCAATATGAATCATTATTCTCAAACACACTGCGTTTATATACCAAACAAACGAACCGCATCGTACCATAAAAAAGGAAATAACATTTGTACAAGATTTAACCAAATGTGGCTGTGAATAGTGGGTACAGTAATTAATAGACCGGCGATAGCTCAGGAAAGGTAAATCCATAGGTCAAAATAAAGTTTATGATAAGAGGAATACAAATACGAATAGTTTAGTTTCTTTAAAATTATACAATAGGAAATATACATATCATATTGGTCCATAAATAGTCCTCAAAGTTACTATTCATAAATCTCCATGGGATATGACAATTTCTTATCACAGATATATATACATAAATTTTAAATAGCGTAAAG